CCAAATGGTTTCTTAAATAACTATAACTGTAGAGGTTTGAGTAAATCATTTTTGCTTCCCAAAGTGCCTCAAGTAGCATTAGGAAATAAATTATTCCTATTACTGTTACTTTTTTGTTGGTACCATGTGGTGCCAAGGGACAGTGTGAGAGGATTGGACCATGTTTGACTCTTTCTCATTATTCTGTCTAAATAACACTTGAACTAGCTTCTAATTTTAACATGTGTAGTAGTGGAGGCCATTGTTTAAGTCATAGAAGTGATTTTTAAGTTCAGTTGGGGTATTTTAAACCTGGAGTGTTTTTAAAAACATAAGAGTCTTGTTTCTATCCTCAAATTACAATATTTTACTAAACTCCAATCTGTTCTCCAACTAATTGAGTTCTGAGAGAACTCTGAGAGAGAACTGAGAATTCTGAGAGAATGGCCATTTTGCATAAGTGCATCTTTGAACAAAATAAATAACTTTTTTTTTTTGACAGAATCAGAAAACTGACTTGTCTAGAATGAAAGAGAGTGGAACAGGAATCAAATGTTGACACTCTAAGCCAGTGTTTGTGTGTTCGTGTGTGGTTTTTGAAAGTGGTAAATGATCAACAATTTTCTGGAAATGGAACAAATGGAAATGTTGATTAAAAATACCTAATAAGGCCTGGCGCGGTGGCTCATGCCTGTAATCCTAGCACTCTGGGAGGCCGAGGTGGGCGGATCATTTGAGCTCAGGAGTTCGAGACCAGCCTGAGCAAGAATGAGACCCCGTCTCTACTAAAAATAGAAAAGAAACTGGCCAAACAACTAAAAATAGAAAAAATTAGCCGGGCATGGTGGCGCATGCCTGTAGTCCCAGCTACTTGGGAGGCTGAGGCAGGGGGATCGCTTGAGCCCAGGACTTTGAGGTTGCTGTGAGCTAGGCTGACGCCACGGCACTCACCCCAGGCAAGAGAGTGAGACTCTGTCTCAAAAAAAAAAAAATACCTAACAAAACTTAGCTGTAAAACACTTTATCTTTGTGCTCTACATTTATACTGTGTTAAAGGCTAGGAAGTGATTGTAAAAAACCTCTTATAGTCCTGCCTTTTAAGAAATGATTGTCATTATCTCAAATTGTAACTCACAGGGTGCTGGTGTAGAAATATACCCTGGGAGTAGGTGTGTGCTGAC